GTAAGTGTCCCGAACATACCCTCGCCGAAAATGGTCGCATCTCCTGATTGGTCACTGGAACCTCAGGTTTTCGGAACGCGCCCTTCCGCCGGCGTGCCCGGCACGGCCGTGCGCTGCGATTCATTGCCTGTCCTACGCTCGCCCTCATCAGTCGTCGCGTCACCAGCTTCGCCATGTCCGATGATTTTGGGTTCTATTTCGATGACGAGGACACCTTCCTCGAGCTGACCTCCCTCTACGTGAGTACCTAAAGTGTTGTGGGGTGTGATAGGGAATAAAATCAGTGATTTTCGTTTCTTTATTGAGCTCAAAGTGTTAGGTTATCGTCTTGTGCAAACGTAATCTGAGGTTATCGTCATATGTGTCCTTGAATCATCCATGTGCTCAGTGAATCGGTTTAGTTTTCTCTAAATGTGTGATCGCTTTTCATCCATGGCGCGCTGGGCGTACCGTTGCCCCTGTCGCACTCGTGGGAACCAACCGACTTTCGGTGTAGTAGTAGTTGCGCTAACCATGTGCTTTTTATGATTGGGGCAGTTCATTTTCTCATGTGCGTGTGTCTCTGTGTGTGTTCCGTTCAAACCGTGTGTTCAAAAAGTGTCGTTTTGAGCCGGCGGTGGTGTGTTTCGCGCCATCGCCGCTACCGCCACTACCGCCGCTGCCGCCTCGCGCGTCCCGCCAGTTCTCGGAACTGGCCGGCCGGTCGTGGGAAAGGAGGCGGGGGAGGGAGGGGAGGTTGCAGCTCTGTTCAGATTTGAAATCGGTGTAAACGGTAGCGGGTCAGTGTGTGTAAGGGTTCAATTTACTTGAAGTGATATCTTAACCTCTGAAAACGGCAGCCGGTCGCCTTGGATCGCTGGGGTGTGCTTCGCGCCGAGGGTGCCGCCACACCTCTCAGTTCTCGGAATCGGCGCGCGGACCGTGAGAGCAGAGGGGGAGGAGGAGGGGCGTATGCTAGTGCATTTGAGTTCGAATTTGTGTTAAAAATGTTGTGTTTTCGGGGGATGATGATGCGTACGTGCCGTCAGCAGACACCGTTTTTTCATGGAAGTGGCGCTGAGCAAGGAGGAGAGGGGGAGGAGGGGCACATGCTGGTGCATTCAAGTTCGAATTTGTGTTAAAAATGTTGTGTTTCCTGTATGCGCAGTGGGACATGTTGGCGGATGACGACGCGGAGTGGGTGGCGGCCAACGCGGCCGCCTTCTTCGCTGACCTCGAAGAGGAGGACGTCGCGGCCGTGGAGGCCGCCAACGACGTCCTGGAGCTCGTAGAGCATGGCGTCGGGGTCAATCATCACGACGACGACGCGCCGCTGGACTTGACCACGTCAGCGCCTGCCGCAGCTGATGTGCCTCCACCACCGCTTCACTGGGTCGCCCCTGCCGCCCCCGCGCCCCCAGCTGCCAGTGTGCCTCCACCCCCGCTGCACTAGGTGCGGCCTGCTCACCCCGTAGACGACGCTGTCGCTGGGCCCTCACGGAGCGGAGCAGGAGATGTTAAAGATGTAAGTATATCTGTATTAATGTAGTTTTCAGATTCGGAATAGTAGTAAAACGTGCTGATAGCTGACTGTTAGTTCCCAAAACTATAAAGTTTAGCTAACAAAACTATTGAGTTAGCTAGGCCATGCAATAACGTTCGCTAAGCC